TGAAGTCCCGAAGACACAATCCCACACTTGCTGAAGTCCCGCAGACTCGACCCCAGCTGTTGGCTGACAGATTCCCGAACTGTCAACACCAAAATAACACCCAATTAATAATTGGGTCCCAGTACATAACCATAAGTACATTATTTGGGTAAATACTACATTACCCCTAGCTTGGCTTATTCAAGCCCAAGGCCCAATCCATAGGCCCAAAGTCGACTATGTATCGAAGCCCAACACATGGCCCAATTTTCTAAATTGGGCCCAACCCCTTACATGGGACTTACCCTAGGCCCATTAAATTATTTTAGTCCATATAATTATTCTTAGATGGCCCATTAATAATCCAATCATCAAGGCCCAATAGAAAGGCCCAACAATAAACCCAAGTGAAGTTAGGGTTTCACATAAAATGCCGATTAGGGTTAAGTTTCCTACTTAACCCATTAAGGAATTATTCCTTTAAGGACTTAATCCATTAAGTCCATTCTTCTAAATAAGTCATATGGTGTGATTGGGCTTAATCACACAATTCCATTCCAATGGCCCAAATGTGGGTCCCAACAAGTCCAAGCCCATAATCCCAAATTAGAGTTTTCACATGAAATGATGGTTAAGGTTCAATGTTTCTTTCTTAACCCATTAAAGATTTAATCCATTAAGTCCATTATTCCTTACGCTAGTTTGCCAATGATTATTAATTATTATTTAAGATTTAATAATTAATTCTCGTGTGTGTGCCAAGCAATTTCCACAAATTAGGGTTTTATTTGCATTATGGTTTTTCCAACCAAATATTAGTCCCTTTATCAATTTGTTGGGCTTTTAGGTCCATTAGGGCTTTATTGGGCCTACTAGGCCCACTAGAATGTCATTAAGCCCACTAGGGTTTTATTGGGTCAATTAGAGTCCATTAGACTCATTAGGGTTTTCACTAAGCCCATTTGACTACATTGGGCCTATTAGCCTAACAAGGCCCATTAGGGTTTCAAGCACCCCAAACGAATCACACTTGACGAGGCGAGACACACCGCCACCCGACACGGCGGCCGGTGGCGGCAAGAGGCAGCAGCCACCACCTTAAGGTGGTGGTTTTCAGTTTTCTTTTCATTATTCCAGTTTGTAATTATACTTTACAATGCTAAATCTCGAATAACACACACACACACCTACTAACACGCACACAAAAACACGATGGTGAATGGTGGCAGTGGCGATTCTTGGTTTTCCAGCCACACAACCCAACTCCACGTCACTAAAATAAACAAACACAAGCACCCTTGTCCGGAACAGCAACACAGCCACCCACCTGGTGGCGTACATGGCGGTGATGGCACGAGATGGAGGTAGTAGCGGCAACTTTGCTTTGACAGCCACCACCTCGCGGTGGTGGCGGCGTTTCCTCACGTTCCACAACCCATCAGCACTTCAGCTCATGCGACTAGAACACATGGACGCAAGCCCGGTCGTAAGCCACACATCCTCCGTGCTCACTTTGGGTGACAACATCAGGCGATCGAAGAATAAATAACAACGATGGAACATCACAGGAGCTGGACGACGTCGAGAAGGAGATTGGCGGTGTGAAACCCACCGAGCGAAACAGCAGCAGCAGCGGCGGAGAGACTTCATGGTCCTCGCCGGCGATTGGAGTGACGACAGTGTATGGAGGATGTTCGACGGCGCTAGATGGTCGGAGAATGGATGTAATAAACGTTAGCGTCGCCAATTCAACTCCCACAGCCCAATCATCCGACGTCTTCAACCCGTTGAAGTCATCCTCGTTGGCCGCAAGCACGATGGAAGCCCGATGGTCACGGTGGTTGCTTGGCTGATCGGAGATAGGATGGTAGCGGCGTTGGTGGGGAGCTATAAGGTTGGGAGGCGGTTGTAACATGCTCTTTTAGGGTTAGGGTTCGCATTGTATAAATACCTGACACCCCCTTCAAACTGTATTCCATAATGCCATAAATAGCCCCTCCCCACAAGATTATTTTCACAGAAAGTCCATAATTTACTCTTTCCACCCCTGCTCACATAGTTCCTTACATATGTAGTCCCATAGTTACCATTCGGCCCCTCCAGCCAGAAATTATTTCAAAATAAATCCCATATTTACCTTTTTTTAACCCCCAATCTCTTAAAGTGTGACAATTAACTCCTCGAGACCAACCTTTGACCTATAATTATTTATTTTGGGGCTACTATTCGTTCATTAATTTATTTATTTAACTAATAAATAAACGGGGTTTTACAATAATCACCAATTCCTTCTTGATCAAGCTTCAGAAAGCAAGCACCAAAAATCTGGTGCATCTAATAGTTTGTACCCAAACCCTAGCAATAGAAGTCTTTAGAAGAAAGGGGAAAGGGAAGGAATTTTCGACTGTAAGGCTCTTATAGTGGATGGCCAAAAATATGAATCACATAAGGGGTTTATATAGGTGAGTAAGGAGTCCATGATAAGGAAAGTTTTCTTGGATAACCGTTATCCCTTTTCTTGCTCCCTAAGGCTTCCAAGAAGCCCTAGGAACCTCCTCCAACATCGTCCCTCTTATTGGAAGGTTCAGGAATTCTTTAATGTTTAACTTTTGAGCATTACCACATTTATTCCCTATACTTTTAATTAATCCAGTTAATCTCAAAATTAATTCGAGTTATTTTCTATTTAATTATTAATTAAATAATATATTACTAATTAATATATTAACCTCATAACATATTAATAAATTGTTTATTGCTATTTATTATTCTTATAATAAATCAATAAATCAACTTTTCTCTCCAAAAAGTCATTCTGTCACTTACTAGGTTTGAGGGCAACCTAAAAGGACTCTGCTTTTAATTAAGGACATATCAATTTAGTTATTGTTTAGATACCTAATCCAACACAAGTCACATTTAACAATCTCCACATTTACTTGATATATTCTGAACTCCACCTTAAACAAGAACTTCCTCTCCCATCCTGTCATCCATCCCCGAATGGACCTAACCTATGCAAACATCAACTAAGTCCAAGCATAGCTTGAACTTATCTCTGGGAAATGACTTTGTCAACATGTCTTCCGGATTCTCCTTGGTACCTTACTTTTGCATGTAAAACCTGTCATAGAACACAATAGGTTTCTCCACCTTCAAAACAAGATACTGAATAAGACCAACCGCCAATAATCTTATTATCTCCAGATCACCTTAAATGGTCTAAGTCTATCCATCCAAACAAGTATGTATGTTGTTCATTACCACCATACACCAAACAAACATCAAGTGTTCCCTTCAAGTGTCACGAGATCCACTTTACCACTTCTCGATGAGCTTTTTCCCGATTACCTCGAACCGCCAAAGAAGTACAAACAAGTTTGGACTAATCACAATAGAACATTCGCAATACTTTCTCAATATATTGAGAAATGTATATCTATCCTACTCTTTTATCCCTCCGAATCTCCATCCTTACTATCTTCTTTTCAGCTCATAAATTGTTCATCACAAACTCATTCTCCACAAGCTTCAAGTTGTCTTTCTCGACATCAACATCACTAGACACTTTTTCCTTAGGTTAAACAAGAGATTCCTCACGTCTATGTTGTTCTATGTCACCCTGTTGTTCCTCATTTATCACAAAACTATGTGGGGTTTATGTTGCAAACTCCACCTTATAGTTAACACTGTGATCGCTCCCCGCAACACTTATACCACATCTTCTACGGTTACACATAGCATATTCAAAGGTCATATCTATGTTAATAATGAATTTTGGAGACATTGTTTCTTCTGTACACCACATACGATGACCATTCCTTCCATATACATATCCTAGAAATATACACTTCATTGCCATTGGCTCTTGTTTACCATCATTTAATGAGCATAAGCAGGGCATCAAAAAATTTGTAAACCAGAATAACCAGAGGGTTTCACAGACCACACTTCTTGAGGAGTCTTACAATTTATTGTAGTTGATGGATATCTATTCACCAGATAGCAATCAATGTTAATTGCTTCCGTCCAAAATTGCTCCAATAAATCAACAGATAATTGCATGCACTGAGCACGCTCCGCCAAGGCTTCGTTCATCTTTTCTACCACTCTGCTTTGTTGTGGTGTTAGCCGTATAGTGTGATGCCTCATTATACATTATGTTTTGCAAAAGTTGTCAAACGAAGCCTTGTAGAACTCTAACCCTTTTTTTAGTGACGTGACTTGGTTCCCGATCTATTTCTCAACATGGTCTTCCACTCCTTGAACCACCCAAACACTTTATCTTCCATCTTTCATCTTTAGAAAGTACACTCGGGTTTTCCTTGAGTAATCATCGATAAAAAGTTACAAAGTATTGATATTGACATCCACCATGAGACTTTCACAGAAGAGGGACCCCATAGGTCTGAGTGAATACACTCAAGGATCTCCTTGTTTGAATGTTGAACATAATTGAACTTCACACTGTGTTGTATCTCTTGAACACAAGCTTCACCAGGTTTAGCATTTCTAGTTACATCTCCACCAAACAACCCTTTATCGCTCATATGTCCTAACTTATGATGTCATAACTTTTTTTTATCATCGCACTAATCCAATTATTGAGATATAGACATCGTTCCTCTAACCGTACAACCTTCCTGGAAATGAATCTCATGATTCATCTTCCACTTCATAACTACAAGAGGGCCCTTGGATACTCTTACCCAATCATCCTTTCCAGGCTACTTTAGTCCATCCTTCGCCAAAGTGCAAAGAGAGATCAAGTCCTTTCGAATATCCGGGACAAATCAGCAATCTAGTTTCATGGCCATATCATTGTGCATCTTAATCTACACTGTATCACTATCCTTGATATTGTCCGCTCAAAGCATCACATGTATTGAATGTGCCGCTCCACTCTTTGAAGTAGTCGAATCAGTCATAATTGTATGTCATATGATAGGATGTTCCAGAGTCCAAGACTGAAACATCAGCAAAACTAGTTATACATACAGTCAAAACTTCACAATCATCTACTTCATCAAAATTTCCTTGAACCACAACAACATTGTTGTTGCTATTTGATTCAAATCCATTATTTCATTTCTTTTGAAGTACCATTTTCCTTGCAGATATAACATCTAATGGTGGCTTTAAATTCATAACTTGACTTCCGTTTGTTATCTTCACTGCTATCTGATGTTCTTCCTTTGTCTAAAAACAAATCGGACTTATAACCAACTAAAACTTTTCTTTTTCAGTTCCTTAGACATCAAAAAATCATTCACATCATTCACAGTGATCATTGTCGCACCATACAACAAAATTCTCATAGGAATTCGGTAGTAAACATATGAGGATAAGGTGTCAATCAATCACAATTTGCTATACAACCGCTTCTAAAACCTTCATCTTTAAGATACATTGCATTGGCATCAACAATCCACCATTGACACATCAGGTGTCATTGCATGACCCTGTCACTTAATGACACATTCTATCACTATGTGGCACCTCCAGTGCACGACACATCGTCAAAGTGCCATAAGAGCACATCAATGTAACATTGAGTAGCACCTCATGTGGATGGAATGTCTTCGAGGTGTCATTCTCTTATCGAGGTGTCATTGAGTGGCACCACCAATGCATGGCACTTCTTCAAATGTCTCACCACATCTAAGTGTATCATTGTATCCAACTGCGCCATAAAAATGCTTCAAATGCCTCAAGTCACATTTAGCAAGATCTAACTTAAAAGAAAATAAACAATGGAACAAATACCAATTACAGATTTTTAATAGTTAGCTAAATAATTTTTTTTTATAAAATGACTTATAAGCAAACTGTATCTAGAGTTGGAATAGGCGGTGTCCCTCCTTTAAAAGGGTTGAGCAAACCCAAACACAAAATCTCAGCCACCATCATCAATCATGCTAATCATTACAAGGATACAAAACCATTGCTATCAAATCTGTAAAAGTTATTTGAGCTTTTATTTCAAATTCAAATTTTACCCTTTTCTCTCTCTCAAAAAAAAAGAAAAAAGAATCGCTTCTAATCACGGAACTCATCCATGAACTTCTTGTGGAAGTCTGTCAACCTTGTAACTATGGCTGGAATCTTTTCCTCCTGTGGCAATATCGTGCACCTAAAATGCCATGTTCCAGGCACCTGTCACAATCCAACCAATAACACTCCATCACTTAATCGACCAACACACAAGTAAAATTACCAATTTACCCCTAAAACTTGAAAAAACTGTGATTAAACAATTCATTCTCACCTGACCAAAACCAGATCCAGGAACCACAACAATACCAGTGGCATTGAGGAGGCGAATTGCATAATATGCATCCGGAGCTTTTTTAGCTTTTTCTGCCTCTTTTATGGCCTTATTTGGCAGCTTAACCTGTGGGAAAAGATACATTGCACCTTCTGCTTTGTTGCAGGTAACTCCCTCCAAGCTGTTGAGAGCGTCTTCCAATGTCTATAGTTTGAATAATGTGAAGGAAAAAAGAAATTAATAATTGCAAACAAATTAACAATTGAATCAACTAATGTTTAACTAACTGACCTTTGCACGCCTTGCGAGTGATGTAAGGATGCCATCTCTTTCAGCAAAATATGAATCATAGGATTCATCTCCAACCTTTGGAGGACTCATAACAAGGCTTGCAAGAATTTGACCAGAAATATTCGAACAAAGATTCACAGATGCCACCTTGTAGATTTGTTCCCTTACTTCAGGACTGAAACCAGTCACCTCCATGTATCCACCTCTTTTCCCACATTCCCCATAATACCCTGAACAAGTTTTGCATTATATTATATGTTCATATATTATCAGTATACTATTCATATTTACAAAGAGACTATACCTTTAGACACTGACTGAAAAGAAACCAAGGGAATATCCTTGTCACCATATCCCATTGAACGTGCAACTTTCTTGAAAGAGTGGAACTGCTTTTCAGGGACATAAATGTTTTCCTGATAAACCTGCATAATGTACATGAATCATGAATCTCACCCTATTTAATCATGCTTTTACTAAAATGCCCATAAAAGTTTTGGGAATTTGTAAGATCTTTTTTCTACCTCATCTGCTAGAAGAACCAAACCTTCTTTCTTGCAGAACTCAACAATGTCTCGTTGGTTCTGTTCAGCAAGAACCTATACAGATATACGAATAAATTTAATTATGAAAAAATTTAGAGAATACATTCACTAGTGTTTAGAAAAGTAATTTATATATAATATATTTACCTGGCCAGTTGGGTTTCCTGGATTAATGACAACAAGGGCTCTAACAGTAATACCCTTTTGTCTAGCAGCTTCCAGTTGCTTCTTGAGCTCAGAGACCTCAAGTCCCCACCCTGTTGCTTCATCAAGATAATAAGGAACCTGAAAAATCAATCAATATGCATTGCTCTATTATCTTTCTTGTATCCAAAAAGTTTTCAAAAAAGATAATAGTTTCAGCCTTTCAGTTTAACTACACATACGAGAGTTCCACCATGAAGGGCGATTGAAGCTGAGTAAAGAGGATACTGAGGAATTGGACAGAAAATTCCATCTTTTTCTGATCTTATTAGTAATTGCATCATCATATGGACCTGGTATTTATCAAGATCATAAAATCTGTAATCATGAAAATTTTCTATATAAAAACACAATAAAAGCATAAAAAACAAAGGCTTACTGCAGGACTTGCACCATCTGTTAAAAAGATATCATTTGGATCAGCAGGAAAACCATCACGAGCTTCAATGCCAGCAGCAATGGTGTCACGCAACCCCTTGATACCCTGATGCCAATTACAAAACCCTTAAACTGCATTTCCGGTTTTACCCCTACACCTGAAACCTCTGAAAGGATAACACGTTTACCTGACTGTGACTATATGCACCAGTAGCTCTACCAGGAATTTGATCAAGAATCTGCCATGCTCTTTCTATGGAATCAGCACTGTAAGTTTAACATAAGCATATTAGTATACTTGAATGCATATATTTTGATTAAAACCAGTTTGAATTATGCATACCTAAACAAGCCCTGTGTTTCACTCTTGTCCAATATGGTGGGATGATCACATAAAGCAAGAACCTAGTATACAATGAATTGCAGGAGTAAGCAAAAAACCTTGTTAAAACATTCCTTTTATAAATACTAAATAGTGTTGCAGAATGCAAACCTCTCTGAAGAAAGTGATGGGCTGTTGACCAAGAGATTGTGGATTTCCAATGTTACAGTAGAGTATCTGCAAAATTTTTGAGAGGCATCAGCAATGAAGCAGAAGTTATCACAAGCCTAACATGTTCAAAACAAAAGAAAACAAAGTATAAAAAATGATACCTCCTCAAAAGGATGAGAACCTGGATTTGCTTGCAAGTCTTGCTGTAATGTCTGTAGTAAATTGAAAGAGAAACATCAATAGGCGATTGTGTGATAAAAATTTATGATATTCTAGATTAATTTGCTAAAAGTGGTAAGTTTTCTATCAATAAATTCATTAATAATGATTTCCACGATATATTACTTATTACATTACCTGAGCCAGAGAGACAATTTCACCACGTACAGCATACTCACATTTCAAGACCTGGCAATAAAGGGAAAAACATTAGTACAAAGGTCATTCTAGCTAACCTTTCCATGTTGGAGTTATAGAAACAGTTCAAAACTACAGATACAAACTCATTTATGATATGGATCCAACTTTATATATATATATATATATATATATATATATATATATATATATATATATATATATATATATATATATATATATATCATTCACATCACGGAAACGGATGCTGAAATTTAAAAAAGTAAAAGTGACAGAAATAATGGAGCCACTCCAATGTCCATATCTGACTTTTGAGAGACATGGATTTTGTTTTGGCTCCAATAAATAAAGTACAACTAGATTGTCCGATTTAACAAATAAACTAAATGGTTGTTGGAGTTCCAATAGTAAAAGGGACTAGATCGACTTGAACTTGAAAAGCCCTGGATTGATCTTCGAAATCAATATTCTTCTTTTTGGGGAAAGTAGGATAAGATGCAAATTAAAAATAAAAATAAAAAAAAGTAAACAGTGATCTTGTACCCGCCTCCGATTAAGGCGTTAATATCTAAACTGTATAAAGCTCAAGTAAGCGAACTAAAACAAAGAAGATCAAGTGATGAACAAAGTGAAAAACATAAATGAGAAGCAAGGAAACGACCTTTGGGTTGAGGGAGTCGACAGTAAGAGGCGGTGTTGACTTGTCGGAAGCCATGGATGTGTCGGAAGGGAGAGATGTGAAGAATCGAGCAAGCCTAGCAGAAGTGTAGTATTGATTTGAAGAAGAAGAAGACGATTGATGATGGGGATTGAAAAGGGAAGCGGTGGCGTTTGTGATCAGCTTCTTGGCTCTGTGGGCTACGAATTTCCGCATGGCGGTATTTCCTTTTTAAGCCGTCAATGATGCGTGTGTGAGGGAGAAAGAAACAAGGGGCTGCGGTCACGCAGAAGATTCGTATTCTCTCTCAAATCTCAAGAAAAATCAAACCCAATTCAATTCAAATCAGCAGCCATTACCCTCCCTTAGATAACTTATTCCCCAAATCTAATGCTCTTTTTGACCCACTAACCCTTTTCATTTTAAACAATCAAGATTACTTTTTAATCCTTAATTTGTAGGGTTTTGTTTTTGTTATTGTAAGGGATATCCTTTTGATATAATTAATTTTTTAACTTATGAGCGTATCCTAATTTTTGTTTTTTGTTTGGTTAGGCTAAAGCTAACACATTCTATGTGTTGTAGCATAACATCTTTCTAAAGGAAAAGAAAACAAACATTTGAAACTTTCTTTAATAACAAACTTATTGTCAAATGTTTAAAGTGTCTCTTTAATGTATCCTTCCGACCATCAATTAGAATACACCGACAATGTTGACATTATTATGGTTTTGGATGGATGGTCCAAATCAAATCCACGTATCTTTATAAATATCTCATGTTCGGATAGGTTTGATACGATCCAATTAATTCCATTTATCACTTAGAGGATAGAATTTAAATTATAACTTAGATAAGTAAAATTATGATTTTACTTGTTTGTTCGGTAGCGTAAGACATGATAAGATATGATGATCTTACACAAGTTGCATGTACTAGATTGATATTATCGAATTTTGATAGATTATTGAGTAAATTACACGAATGGTTCCTATGGTTTGGGGTAATTTGCATGTTTAATCCTTAACTTATTTTTTTAACTCGGAAGATCTCTACTATTTATTTTTATTACGCGTTTGGTCCTTACTGTTTGTTTTTGTTACACGTTTGGTTATTATCTTACCTAAAAAGACTATTATTTAAAAAGAGAAAAATAGTGTGGTAGGTAAGGTAAGGTGAATGACATGGGATTGGGTGTGTGTTTATTTAAATAAATCAAAAAATCAAGGGAAAAATAGTATTTTTAGATAAGTCAGGGACCAAACGCATAACAAAAACAAACAGTAGGGACCTTCCGAGTTAAAAAAATAAGTTAGGAACCAAACGTGCAAATTATCCTAAACCATAGGGACTATGCGTGTAATTTACTCTAGATTATTTGAAGAGTGTTTGTTAGCGCTATAGGGTTATACGGTGTTATAAAGAAATCATTGGCAGTATATTGACATAACGTGTTTACTGGCGGTAAAAACCGTGTTGGATATTCATCGCCTGTAGCTTTCCACCGGTGGCGAAATTCGAAAAAAAAAAATGAACATTTGTGACCTTTGGGAAGATTTGGACGTTAGGAAACGGCTCTTTGCCCTTTTTCTTTTTTTAACAAATTTACCAATATATATACATATATATATATATGTGTGTGTGTGTGTGTGTGTGTGGCTGTTATGTATCTAATATTAGATATATAACCATCAAAAACTTAATAGTTTTAACTAAATGCAATCGAATCTCTCTATCATCTTTCTTGTATCATCTATTAGACTAGATGATAGGATTTGTACATATTTTTGTTGAGTATAGTAGTCTTCTACGCAGCGCGTAAGAGGGATCATAGACGCAAGATTTAAATAATCTATTTAGGGCGTAGATCAAGGTACACAACGTATAGTTGCCCAAAACCAAAATCCTAACCTTGGCGTTTTGAGCCATATTTAAAGGCTCTAACTCCCTTGAGGCCCTTCCATCCACAACCTCCATCCTTTCAAACGTCCTTCGTAGAAACCCTAAAAAGATATTGTATGTTCAAGAATCATTTTAAATTGATATTGCTAATTAACATATGATACTAATTTGTCTTACTAACAACAACTTGATATAATTGATTATTTATTATAAATTGATTTTAATAAATATTCAATAAACTCTTATAATTAAATTGAAATTTATTTATTTCATGGAAATAATAATTTTCATTAGCAAGTAACATTACATAATTCATATGGTATGAATTATTAAGTCATGCAAAACATTTTGGACCAGATAAATGCTTTTGTTTTTTTACCAAAATATTGAAGTTTATATTTTATAAACTTGGTTTATAAAATATAAAGGTTTTGTCTTCTTTCTTTTATTATTTTATAAAATAAGATTCAGAAATGTTTTTTGACTTATTTAACCAAAAGTAATAAGAAACATGAGTATTGTGCATGTCATATATATATATATATATATATATATATATATATATATATATATATATATATATATGAGAGAAAGGCTTTCACTTGTTGTTGGCTTATCTTCCATCTCCAAAACCATAACATGCATATTATGATGCATGTTCTCTCACTTTTGATTATTTCTTGAAGATATTACTTGCTTTTATACTCTCTTGAAGTTCATACTTTGGTTATGAACTTCAAGCTTAAGAGTTAAGAGTTTTCTTACAAGACTGGCCTCTTAAATCAAGTTGACAACTTATTGGTGTCTCAAAGGTTCCATATTCTCCATCAACTTCCAAGACTCCCTTTGAGGATTCAAAGTCTACAAGGGTTGTATTTTCTCCATCTCTTCTTTGGTTGGTGTTGTTTTCTTTCCAAACTTTGCAAGAAGATCATTTATGGGTATAAAATGGTTTTATGTTATTCAAAATTCTAAGTCTTAATATTATGTTTTGAAATTAATTTTTGAATAAAAACCCAATTGGTATCAGAGATGCCCTGCAAGTTTGGTTAGATTTTTAGAAATCTTAGTTTTTGGAGAATACGGATAACTTGGTTTTGTATAAAAACAAGTTCATACATATTTTATATGACAACTTTATAATTGTTATTTTATGTGAGAAAAGTTCGCATGCATCTTTTGTCATTTAAAATTGTCTTAGAAAAACAAAGGTTGTTTAATGTGTATGTTGATATGTATGATGTACATAAACTAGTCAATGAACATTATGTTTATTGTGTTGTTCTGTTGGTTGTTTTATAAAAATAGTTATAATTATTTATTTATTCATATGATATTATTAAATTAAATAGATTAGTTTTCTTGTTTATTTTTGTAAATAATAGATTAGTTTTTATAAATAATTTGTACAAAAATGTAACAATAAATGAAGTTGGAGCCATTTTTTGAAGACCAAAGAACAATTTTCGTGATTAAGAAACATGCTGAAAGTTAGTGATAGTTTCTGAGAAGTGTCACTAATGTTGTTTCTTAAAGGTTGTTGGACTTTTAGCGATAGCTGTTGAAATATTGTTTTCAAGAAACTTTTTCAATCTTTTGCAAGCAAGGGGTGTTCTCTCAAGTGGGCGCTTCAACAACAACATTACAAGAATATTTTTGGTCCCTTAAAATATCCCTTTAGGAATGGACTTGGTATTTTTGTGTTGGCTCACAAAAATATCATTAGTTGGTTTTGATTATGCACATATAATTTTATACATGGTTGTATTGTTTATTTTATGCAATTATTATGTGTGGTTGATAAATTAGTTTTTCACATAATAAAATAATATTGGACAAAATAAACATCACATGGAGTTTGTTTTCAAAATTTATTATGTGGACATAAGATGTAACTAGATATTGGTTTAAAATAAAATCTGGTTTTATAAAACGTTAACAATGCTAAATTTTAAAATATTCAAATATAAGTATTAAAATGGTGATTTTTATAACTAATACAAACTCCAAATATATAAGTAATAAAAGGAGGTTTTATTAAAGATATAAAAAAAAGATTCAAATACACTCAAAATTAATATCGGTTATTAAAATTGAATCACGTTAAATTATATAAAAACTAGCTTTTTATATAGAACCTTTAAAAGTGATTTTCTTTTGAAAATTTGTATCATGGTTTATTATATGCATGTAATAACTGTAACACTTGTTTCTTGGTACGTATTTTTAAATTAAGTATTTTGCATTTTGGCATGGGACTCAGCAAGTTGGTGGCCCAACTCGTCGAGTAGAAGCGGTTTGAACACGGGAGTTAAGTGGCTGACTCGGCGAGTCAGAGACCGGACTCGACGAGTCCGTGTTGTATGGACAAAAACCCTAATATGAGGGTTTTCACCCTATATAAATGCCTTAACTCAGCCTCCCTTGTCCCTAACACTCTCCTAGAGCTGCATATCGAACCCCTACCCGTTTGTGGGTGTGTTAAGGCCATTTTGGTGCTTTGTTGACTTGTAAAGCTTGGAAGGAAGAAGAGGAGCTTGAGTATTCGACTTGGGGCTTGTGGATCCAGAAATCTCATTCCATCTTCAGCTTAATCAAGGTAAAATGCTCCTGCTTTGGTCTTCCATTTGGTTGTTCATCCTTAAATTATATATCTTGGGTGCATTTAGGGCTTTCAAGCCATTTTCGGATTTAAAGGGTGTTATGTGGACTCTAGCCTTCAGATCTGGGCCTTAAGAGGGGTCTCATGGCATAAAGTGTAACACCCAAAGTTTTGGAAAGCCAAGAAAAGAAAGAAAACCCTAATTTTAAGGGGAGACTCGGCGAGTCCAAGGAGGGACTCGGCGAGTCCGAGCGGGATCCGGGTCGAGGAGTAAGCGACCGACTCGGCGAGTTGGCCAAGGTGACTCGGTGAGTCTGGTCTGAACGAGGAAAAACCCTAATCCCGGGAGTTGTATCCTATTTAAAGGGTGTTATGTCCATCCCTCAGCCCCCATCTCACCCTAGAGAACCTGTAAACCCTTGATTTCGTGAGGGCTTCCATCAATTGAGAGAAATAGCTTGGAGGAAGGAAACTTTGGGAAAGGAACTTGAAGATCAAGAAGGTTGCTTCACAGGAGGAGGTGTAGATCCAAGATCTATTTCAGTTGTGTTCATCTTGGAGGTAACAAGCTGCTATTTTCCCTCCTTTACACCTAGATCTATCTGTATGTTTTGGGCATTCTTGGCTTAAGAGTAACCATTCGAGCTAGGGGTTCAGATCTGAGGTTGCTACCTCAGATCCATGCTTATTTTGCTCTAAAATCCCGTAAAGTATCAGCTCTTGGTATATTGGTGGAGCATGGTTGTCATAAACCCTAGTTTACGGTGTATTTTGCCTAGATCTCCTTCTCTACACGTAAAGTTTGCAACTTTACGTGAGGAATAGGATTGGGAAGGGTAGATCTACAGTTTGGAGTCCATGCATGACTCAAAAGCCCTCTGCATGTAAAGGGATTTGAATGGACTCGGCGAGTCCTTTGAGTGGACTCGGCGAGTAGCATGAAGATGTGGAGCAACTCGACGAGTGGGATGAACAACTCGTCGAGTCAGATGAAGATTGCCTTGTACTCGGCGAGTCAGGTTGCGAAACCCCAAACCCTTCGAGTTGAGACTCGAATCAGTGAGTCGGGTGGAGACTCAGTGAGTTGGGCAGGTCAGGACTCAGAAATCGGTAGACTCGGCGAGTCATGGACTAACTCGGCGAGTCGAGACGCGAATGGAAGGAA